TATATTATTAAATGCCTATTTATAGAGAACTAGCTATAAAATTATAGTCTATAATTTCATAAGACTAGATCCGGCTATATTTTAATTTATAAAACCTTAAAGGGCTTTAGGTAGCCTATTACTAGTATAAGAAACTATAGCCTGAGTAGTAGCCTAAGTAATTCTTATATTTATAGCCCGTTAAGCTTATATAATAGTATAAGTATTATTAGAAGAATAGTTAGATTAAGTAATATAGCTTATAGTAAAAGGAAATATAAAAGAAAGTAGTTATAGAACTATTAGAGCAGAAGAAGCCTGGAGTAAAGCAGAACTAATACCTGGCGGCTATATAGTAATAGTAACTAGAGAAATAAATATAGTAGATATTCCTAGAAGAAAAGATATAAAATAAGAATACTAAGAAAAGCTAGAAATCTGAAGTATTTCAGATATAAAAGAAAAGGCAGATATAGACGGAATTCCAGAGCTATAAGGTTTAAATTTACTAGTATTACTATTCTAGATAAATAAAGTAATAGCCTTTATATTATATTTATTATTAGTAAATTAATAGAACTTATAATATTAGATATTATTATACTAGTATTTAGCTATAGGATATATAGTATTAGGGCAGGTTTTAAGAAATAGTAATACTATTTTAAAAGATAAGAATTTAAGGATATAAAATATTTATATAATAATAAACTTAATAATTTTATTAGTATTACTTTTAAAAATAAAAAAAGGATTTCAAAAATAATATATTTAATAATAAATAATATCTATTTTAATATATCTAGTTATTTTATAACTGGCTTATTTAATTACCTTATATTATTAGAAGTATTACTAATAAAGAGCTATTTCTAGATAAAGTTCTAAATTATTAAAAACTATACAGGTATTTTTCTAGCTTATATATTATTTATATATTCTATATTTATTAGAATAATTTATTTAAGAATTCTATTTTATATAATAGTAATATTATATTTACTAGTTAGTTTTTTGGACTTTCCTAATATTAATAACTGCCCTAAAGCTATATATGTCCGGATTATATATTAGAGCTAATAGTAAACTTGAATATATAATTAGTTATTATTTTTATTAGTATCTCCTATATAAATATTAGCTATATTTATATTATAAAATATAAGCTTTTAATAATACTATTCTAGTATTTCTCTTAGTAGAAACTTATTAATATTTATATTAGTATATAAGTAAACTATTTATATAAAGCTATATAAGGTTATATTACTTACCCTAAACTAAATAATAATTAAGAATTATATTATAAAGCTCTATATTTATAAGGCGACCCTAGTACTATATCTTGTCTAGGGGCCTTATAAATAGTCTAAATAACTTGCCGGCTACTATATTAGGCCTAGATCTGTCTTTTCTAATCCTATAGATATTCTATAAATCTATAAACCTATATACCTCGTTTTGGATCTGCTATATATAAAGTACTAGTAAAGTAATCCGGTCTTATATATATTAGTAATTATAACTCCTGGTATAAATCAGTTCCTGAAAATAGTTCTATATATACTAATTAGAATTAGTTATAAAATCTAGTATTATAATACTAGACCTAATAGCCTTAATAAAAAGCGGTATAATTATTAGTACCTAATACTTTCTTCTAATAATAGAAAAAATAAAAGGCAGATATAAGGAAACGGAATTACTTATATATTACTAGTATAGCTAGCTCTTCTAAAGCTCTTACTACTAGAATTTAACCTACTAATTCTCGATACTTTTCCCAAAAATAAAATAGTTCTCTATATATATAACTAACGGATCGGCTATCTGCAAGAATATAAAATATACTTTAGTAATAAGGAGGAGTTTAGAGCCTTAATTAGCCTTAAAGAAGTAAAGGCAATAGCCTATTTAAATATAAATCTGAAAATACTATTATATAACCGAATAGGTAATTTAATTAGAGATTCCGATATATATCTAGATAATATTATATAAATAAATATTAATATAAATATATATTTTAATCCCAAATAGTAATAGCTTATTATATCTATTAATTAACTAAATCTAGTCCGGCCCAGATATAATATATTCTCTCTTTTTAAACTATATCTATTATATTTATAATATAATTATCTCGGGATCCAGAAATTATAATATTATATATAAGCTCTCCCTATAGATAATAAAATATATTAGTAAATAAGGCTCTAACCTTCTAAGCTAGAGCAAAATAATAAAGTATAGAAAGACTAACCGGGTTACTAGTAAACCTTATTAACGGAAATATATATATAAATACCGCTATCTATAATCTATAACCCGCCTATTATTTAGCTTACTTTATAGTATTACAAATAGTTACTTGTTCGCCGCTTGCCTGTCTATTATAGTTATATGGCAAATAAAACTAAGCTTCTTATATATATAGACGACTTTAGTAATTAAAGCTATATAGCCGCAATCCTTAAGATCTTTAAGTATTTCCTTATTTATATCTCTCAGATAATACAGAATTATAATCTATATATAAAGGAAAGATATATCTGCTATTTAAGTATATATTTGAATATTCTATTCTTGTAATTACTATTAGACTATATACGGATTAACTGAGATTCTATATAAATCTTTTAATCTATTTGTAATTTCTTCTTAATTAACGTTTATATAAGCCTATTTAGTAATGGCTTCGTAATATAGTAATAGATTTATTAAAAGTTATAATATTATTTTAATAAAATCCACTAAGTTATTTAATAGGAGTTAAGTTCAGGGTACGCTTTACTATTGCAATATACTTTTTAGTAATATAAGCGCTAAATTACTCGAGTAATATTACTCCTATATAATTTTGTTAATTAATTACTAAAAAAAAAGTAATTAGCTGGCTTCTCAGTTATTTTAACAGTTTAATTTTCTTATTTCTAATCTCGGGAATATTAAGGAAGTTATTAGACCCTATTAATAGCGTTATTCTAGAAGGGCTTATAGCCTGTAGTTATCTGACCATAGTAATTTGCAATAAATACTCAATTTTATATTATACTACCCGGCCCAATTTTGGCACGATTTCACGCGGTAGTATGGGCTCTCACTTCGTTAATTAGACAAGCAAGCAGCCTTACTATTGTTGCGTTATCCAAGCCGAAAGTCATATATGGGTGCTATACCCCTAATTAGGAATTCTGCCTTGGGGAGGAGGGGAGGGGTACGGGGCGCCAGTGCGAAAATCAGAAAATCAGAAAATCAGAAAATCACTTTTCGCTTCTCGGATTTGTCCGCTAGCTAGCTGTGGGCCTCAGTAAACGATCTGCCCGAAGCTCTTTGCGATAGGATTTTCACTTACCAATGGCGATTTTGCGTTCCAGTCTTTGATAAACCTTCCTTGCGTGATCGAATCTTCGAAGAAGATTACATTCTCCCGGTCGTACGCATAGAAGAGCTCAAGTCCTTTACTCCCAGATCAGATATCGCAGGCAATACTTCCTATCCGTACAAAATATGGCTCCACAATTCATATAATAACATTCGAGATGCGGAAACCAAATCTGTGAGTTATCTTTCACCCATACTTTACCTTCTTCAAATCATTGAAGGCTTAGTTGCAATGCTAATGTTTTCAGCACTTGAGCGACTACGATCGCAACACCTTCCGACTTGATAGGGAAATTCTCGACAACTCCTCAAAGCAATCTCACATCGATATGGCCCTGGCAATGTCCTCTATCCCCGGTATCATCAGATGTTATGGCTCACTCGTCCAAGGAGAATATCGGAACACGATTTTCGATCTCGAAGAGAAGACCTTGGAAGACTTCTTCAAATATACCTCTCCTCCATTTGAGTCTCAAGATATCCTCGATTTCTGGGATAGCTTATTCCAGCTGGCGTCGTCTCTTACAGATATTCGAAACCTCTTTAGCGGTGCCCACGTCGAACTTGAAGTGTACCACGTCGATTTAGCCCCTCAAAATGTATTCGTTGTTAGTGAGGGGCAGGTTTCGCCATATAAACAGAAGTTTAAGCTCGATAGATATCGCAGACAGCATAGTTTCAGTCACAGCCCATATCCTTATTAGAGTAGGTTGTCCAACTAGCCACATAGGTGCTCACAACTAATGATTGCAGATCCCCAAGGCGCAACCCCTAATTCTTTCGGAGTCTACACATGGCTTCTGGGGTGCTTGTTCAGTGAAGCAGTCATATGGGTAAGTGGTGGCTACTCAACTTTATTGAAATACAGAAATGCGCGAGGTTTGACTGGAGATGCCGAACAACATATATTCGCTTTCACGAGATATTATCATATCACTTTGCGCTCTGACAATGCCGTCACCCAAAAAGTTTCTGTCTTGATCCTAGGAGAAATGCTCGTAATTGACAGCGAACGAAGGTCTTCAATCAGTCGTATATGGCTGAAATGGCAAGATATTTTGAAGAACAAAAATTTCACATTCACCCCAGTTGGTCGTGACACTCGGACCTTGACGGGAATAAAATATGAAGGCCTGCCATTCAGTCAAACGGGCAAAGCTTGGCACGGTTTTGCTGTTAAAATGGCTGTACAAGACGATCTCATGAAAGCAGATGAGGACGTATCGCATCTCAGAACACACCTTTCATCTGCAACGGAGGTCACAACTCGAAACAATTCGGATGAATTGCAGTCTGAGAAACAGAAAGACACATCAAATAGTGTCTCGAGCCAAGGAGTTCGCGCTTCAGCATCCGCGACAGACCTATACCATGACGACGATGCGTCCGAGTTGGACAGGGAAGCAACGACTTCTTCTGGACGACTTCCAGGAGTCGCCGAGCAAGCTCTTGATTTGCTCCGGGAGCCTGCGAAGCCTGCGAAAAATCTCGAGCGTGTGAAGCCGAAATCTGTCTTCCGAAGACTTTTCGGAAGAGGTGACTCCAGCAAGGGGGGCCCAGCGGACAAGCCTGCAAAAGGGAAATCGCCGCAAGAGTCAATTTCCGGCACGTCTGCAGCGTTTACTTCGAGATATAAGTATCTTTATGAGCCCCTCAAGAGCACAAAAGAGATCAGGCTGCTCACATTGTTCCCTGGCGCTTTTCTTGATCCAATACGAACCTCGTTGTCTACTTTTGATATCGAGGCTGGAACCCCACACTACGAAGCTTTGACATACACTTGGGGGGATCCATCTTTGAGGCATGTAATTTCGCTCCATGGCCATGAATTTGAGATAACCGCTTCACTGTACGAGGCCTTAAAACACCTTCGTTTGATCGACAAGAAACGAATCATATGGGTCGACGCTATCTGCATCAACATGAACAACCTCGCAGAACATAGTAATCAGGTTATGATGATGAGAGACATATATCCTCGCGCATTACGCGTCCTCGTGTGGCTCGGTATTGCAAGCGAGAACAGTACCTTAGCCTTGGACACACTGGAACGGATTGATACTGCGGAAGGAGTACCACACTTGACATATGTGGGACGAAGTTTGGAAATCCCCTTGGAGCCTGGCGCATTGCAGGCAATATTGAATCTGCTACAAAGACCCTTATTTGGCAGAATGTGGCCCTGGCTGGAAATTCAGTGGGCTGCTGATGAATCTGTCATAATAGTCGGACCAGATTCTATGCCTTAGGAACATTTCCGCATTGCTCTCCGGTATCTCGCTCGCCTGCATCATGACGGCACCTTTGCATTGAGAGGGATCATCATAAAAGTGCTTGCGATGGTAGAAAAAGTCTCAGATAAATCCCTCAGAACACTCATCCAACGGACGCGACACCTCAACTGCACGGATCCTCGGGACCGAATATACGCCCTTCTGGGGAATCTCAGATACACTGCTTACAATCTTCCCTGATTATTCGAAGTCTGTGCTAGAGGTATACAAAGAAGTGACACTCCAGCACATTCTTGGGTGGGGCGATATGAATATCGTGAGCAGCTGTGAGATATCGAGCAAGACTGATTGGCCAACCTGGATCCCCGACTGGTCAGCTCCGAGCCGATGTCTTGAGCAGTTCACAGGTCTGAATGCCGCTGGCGATACGTACCCTGAAGCGAGACTCATTGGAAATGATACGTTGGAAGTTTGTGGGGTTCTTATCGACAAAATCGAGTTCGGAATTTCTCTCTATTTCTTTCCCAATAGCACTACTATGGAAGCCATCACAACAACACGGACACTGCTTCAACAGTACGAAAAAATGGACACACAAGTAAGAGGAAAATCTAATCTCGATGCAGTGTGCCGCACCCTCTGTGGTAACAAATTCTCTACACGATATATTCCGCACCATGAAGGTCTCTTGGCCCATTCTGATTTCATAGAAGCTGCCACCATGCTAGTAAATGCGCCGGAAAACTCTTTGCGAAGCTCCTTTCCTCGCGGTGTTTTAGAATGCATCAGCGAGATTGGGACGATGGCTGCCGGCCGTCGTCTTTTTGGAACTTCCAAGGGCTTCTTGATCTTGGACCAGAAGGAATTCGATCTGGCGATGATGGCGATGTGATCTGCGTGCTTCTAGGATGCAACGCACCGATGATCTTGCGGCCTTCCCATGACATCGAAGGTGCCTTTGAGGTCATCGGCCCTGCCTACGTTGACGGATTCGCAGATGCTCAGGCTATACTAGGACCTCTCAAGGATGGGACGTCTCTTGTTTATCAATATAACGAAATGACGAAAAGATCTCAGGTGGCATACTTGGATGAGGCTGGAGACACAACCTCCGATGATCCTAGGCTCGAACGTCTGCCTCTTAATTGGCGAGTCAGGCGCTATCCGGAAGAGAATGTACATGGCATATATGAGTTCGATGAGCGGCTGGCATCTGGCGGTGTATTTTCGGACAGGGACGCCCGTGATCCTAGGTTAAGGCCGGAAGCATTGAGGCGGCGTGTGTCAAGCTCCAGAACTTTCGGCTTGTATGAGATAGGATTCCGAACTGAATATTATCCCGCTACTAGTTCAAATGGATCTACTTCATCTTCCCAGGATTATATTTTGCTATATCAGATTCACACATCGCAAGACGGATACATTTCCTACCCAACTCACTCTCTTGCTCGCACATAGTATCAACCAGAATGCAGAGGGAACGAAGTTGAAATCCTGGAATGTTTTAAACTATCTAACTCTCGTATCTGACCTGTTAATGGTAGGTATGGTACCGTACTTCAAAGTACCCTGGGGAGGTCTCTGCTACCCCGCTATAACCCCGCCATTCCATAAAGTACCCTGCGCTGGCTTGCGTTTCGCCTCTGATATTAGCGCTCTTTGAGAATTCTGAGCTTTCTTGCTTCTAATAGAGATGGTATATTCTGCAGATTTCTACCTATTCTAACGTGGCTAACTGCCATTTGGTGAATAATTATCATGCCAATACGAAAATGAAGTCTTGAGAGAAGCGTGCCGGATGTCAAAGCCCCGCAGCAAGCCGTTCCCAGCCGCACCCCCACGAAGAATTTCTACACAGCCCTCCCCTTTACCTTCAACTTCACCTCAATCCATCGCATGACTCAACCTCTGTCCCTTTCAGAGATCATCTCATCTCAATTCGCACAGAGGCTCAGTTTCTAATAATATGACGACATGCACATGTAGCAAGGCTTAGCAAGTGCCTGACCTATCCTCAGGCTTGTGGACGCATCTGAGTGCGTGAGTCACCATGAGTCGAAACCCATCACTCTCCCTCACCGGTCCAAACAGTCTGTAACAGAGCGCAGCACTTTGCTATCTCAATTGGGAACCCAATGGAGGCAGTGGCGACAGGTACAAGTACTGCCTCTGATCTCTGTGTTCCTTTTTGTTTTCAATTCATCAAACAACGTCCTCTTTCAAGCTTCAATTGAAGCCTCAATCGCTCAGCGAATCAATTCAAAGTTATGCTAGACGCAACTACAAACACTGCAATAACGGGAGGAGCTCCCAGTGAGCAAGAACTCAATTGCACAACATGCCTTGCTCACTTCGAGACTAAGGAGATGAAGAGAGATCATATGAGAGCAGCGTGGCAGTGAGTTTTTATTCCTTTACCCGCACCCTATGTAGTTAACAAGAAAAGTGTCTACAACCTGAAACGCAAGATCGCCTCTCTTCCTCCCATCTCTCTCAAGATCTTCGAGACACAAGTGCGGACCTCGGAGTCGGGGAGCGAGGATGAGAAGTGGGGCACTAGCTCCAAGGCACCGAAGCATGTTCTGAGATCCGATCAGCTAGAGTCGGAAGCACCAGAGGCTCTTGCCTCAGTCAGCCTACTCTCGTCTAACGATGAAGAGGGTTTTGATGGGACACAGTGTTTATTCAGGACGCATACGATGTTGTTGGTAGAGGACATGATGAGGATAATCTCTGAGGACAAGCCTCTCAAAGAGTGATTGGTTCAAATCGTAGCCGTCCCCCTTCTCTACAGCAAGATCGTGGTGCACCTTAGGCCGAAGCTACTTGTGATCGCCAATTAAGATCAACTATTTGGTTTCCGGTCCCAAGCGGTAAGAACATAGCTCCCTAGTATTTCTCTAGCCTCTTTAATAAGAAGTATACCAGGTGAGATAGACTAGAGAGCCTAAATATACTTAGTAGTAACCGTTATTATATATCTAATTATATACTTTCTGCATATAATCTAGAGGTCCTTCTCTATATAAATAACCTTTAATCTACTAAAGAGACATATTATATATTATTTCAGCCTTATAAAGCCTAGTTATATATTCTTATAATATTTCAAATTACTAGCTATTTATAGCTTCTATCTACCTTTTAGCTTTTATTTACTAGATCTCTTTAAATATAACCCTAACTCTTCTCTTATATATTTCTATATCTTTTCCTTATTACTACTAGTTAAGTAAATAGAATAGATTTACTACCTTACCTCTCTTATTTACCGAACTATATTATTCTTCTTAGGTATATAAAATGCCTTAAAAAAAGAAAGAAATTATCTATTTTAAACTCGAGATATTTTATAATATTAGACTAAATAATATTAGCTTAGCTAAATACTTTAAAAGCTTCTTATAGGTTTCGAGACTCTTCTTTAACTAGATTCTTTATAAATTTAATATTTGCTACTAGTTTTAACTAAGTTTAATAGATTACTATATTTCTTTAAATAAAAGCAGTTATATTCTAGTTATTACCTAAAGAGAAGATTCTAAATAAATAATATCGGATTTAAGTATAAGGGGCAAGTATATAGGGAGTATATATAATAAAGTATAAGCAGGTATTTAGTATTCCGTATATAGTTTCCTGATTTAATTAAGGCTTATATAATATATTAGAATACTAAATTATATTTCTTAATTAGATAAAGAATTAGTATTTATCTATTCGAATATTAGAAAATATATAAGAATATATACTAAACTTTAGGAATAGATATATATTAGTCTATATAATTAGAGTTACTTATTAAAATTAGTTATATTTATAAGAATTACTCTTAAGCTTATTTACCTTAATTATTTATATATTATTCTATTATTATATATCTTATATTTTAATCTATTTATTACCTATAAGAAGTAGTTTATTATAAAGTAATTAAATAAATAATAAATCAAATTATTTATAGCTCTAATATTAATTAGAAGAAGTACTTCTATTATTACTAGTAATATCTAGTTAAGTATTTAGAAAAGTGCCTAGTTAGATACTTTCGGAGCTATCTAATTAAGAAAAAGAAATAGAATATAAATACTACTAGGGCTAAATAAGAGAATAAGTTTAGTAAAAAAGCTAGTAATAGCTTATTATTATATTAAGGAATTAGAAAAGGAAATATAATAAAGAAAGAGTCTAAAAGAACTTAAAGCCTAAATCCGTTATTTTAAGAATATTTAAATAGTATTTAAGGTAATAGTAATTATAAGAGGCCTAATTATATAAGTAGTAGTATTCTTTTCTTATAAAATACTAAAAACCTGGGAATTATTTATATATAAAAAGAAAAATATTAAGGAAGCTTAAGGCTTTTTCTATTAAATAAAGCTAAAATAATATAAAAATAGCGGGATTATATAAACTACTAATATAATAAAGTATTATAGTAAGAATTACTAAATTGGGGCTAGCGCGATTGCTCTGCTTAGTTAGGATCTATATACTTACTTCCTGAAGCTTTATACTTTACTTAAGCTCTTTTCTAGCTAGTTTAATAAACTCTTTTACTATCTAATATAACTCTCTACTCTATAATCTTTACGTGTATTAGTTATGAGCCCGGCCTCGCACTAATAAGCTTCCTAATTAGTACGCCGCAGAGAGTATTTAAGAGCTTATTTAATTTATTTCTTCGAAAATCACACTTTAGTTCGTATTTCCGTTACTAACTAATTAACAGAAACCATTCCCATAATTCCTATAGTTTCTAAAGCTTAATTGCGATCATATTAGAAATTATAGTAAAGATTATTATCCTAAAGAACTATAGTTCCTGGGCAGACTGGTTTAATACTCTCTATAAAGTAGCTAGTAATAAGGGTATCTAGAATAAGATTAATCTATTTAATAATAAAGTAATTAAAACGAATATAGTAGCTTCTCCCAGGCCTCCTCCTATAATTAACGAGCTTATACTAAAGAAAATAAAGGATTACTATACCAGATACTAAGTTAATACGGAAAATTGGGATAAAGATACTTAACCTATAATTAAGAAAGGATTAAAACTAGTATCTCTATAGCCTATAATATTCGGGAATATTAGAGATTACTATTTGGCGCTTTTACGGGACTATAAGATTAAGAAACTAGACTAGACAAATAAGCTAGTATACTACTATATAATTAGACAGTAGCTCCGTTAAATGGTTAATATAGAGATCCTTATAAACTTTACTCTGGGACTTAAAAAAAGTAAGTAAAGCTCTATTCGCAAGGTTCTCAAGGTATTATTAATAAAATACAATTCTATAGATATAGTACAAATTACTACTACTCGGAGAGTATATAGCTCGGTCTTACTATAAGCAAGTAAAGGAGAAGTGAGCCTAAAGTACTAGTTTACTAATTAGAAAAAGGTACTTAATAGAGCTAGAGCTCTTAAAATCACTGAAATTAAAGATACTCTAGTAATAATTAAGTTCTTAATAGCCCTCTAGCAAAAACTCGTACTAACCTGGGTAATAGAATAGCTTAGTAATCTATATAATAAAAACGAACTAGGGCTTCTAATTCTTATACTCGAATAGTATAGCCAGGTATTTAATCGGATTATTTTAGAAAATTAGAATACTAAATACTTAGGAGCTCTTATAATCTTTATTATACTCGGGAATTAAACTAGTAAAGAATTAGATAGTAAACCCGATTTAGATAAGAATAAGCACTATAAGTACCCATATAAGAGTTCCAAAATCTATAAGTATAAGTGGGACTTACTTAGCTATACTACTATAGAAATTATAATTACCGGATTAAGTAAAATTTGAATAAAATTTAAGCCTAATAAGAAATAAATCAGAAAAATCCGGGAAAGAATCTTAACTAAGTATTAGAAGAATCTGAAACCTTAGCTAGAAAAGAAATATAATATGAAAATTACTAGTAGACGAGCTATAGAGAAGCTAATACCCGGTACTAGTTCTAAAAAGGAGCTCAAAGTATTAGGAACCCAATTTCCTAAGAACTTTAATACTACTCTAGTAGATCTTATACTTATAATTTAGAGCCCAGGTTAGGAAATTTATATAATACTCGATTTCTTAAGATATCCGCTTTCTTAAAATATCTTATTAGATAATTATAGTACTATATATCTAGTTAATAGTAAGAATCTAATTAATTCTAGTACTTTTATTAAGGCAAAAATTAATAATTATATAAAAGTAGGAATAACTAGTTTTCTGATCATTAGATATAGTACTTATATAATTAAAAATATAATTAATAAACCTGCGGGACTATATACTAAAGATCTAATTCTCTATAATATTATAGTTATTAAAGGATTTTATATAAATATTATTTCCGAAGCTTGCCTAGCGAAAAAGAAAGCTTAGTATTATAGATATAATCTTATAATTAGATTAGAAGATTATAAAGAGAATATAGTATTAATATAATTAGATTATAGGTTAAATTTAGTTTTCCTTAAATATAAGCCGCTTTTTACTTACTCTAATATTTTGTTCGAAATTCCTACTAGTACTAGTAATATACTCATGTTTCTAATACTTAAATATTTAATTAGAGCTTAATATAAGAGATTAAGGAAGTATCTTAAGCTAAAAAGTAATTTAGAAGAAAAATAATATATGAGAACAGGGCATTTAGCCTATAAAGCTCTATAAAAGCTCGTTAATTATATATATAACATGAAAATTAATAGACTAATAAAAATTATATATGAGTTTTATACTTAGGTATATACTAGGTAAGTAATCTCATATAGGCTAACTAAGAGGAAGTCTACTTAACTATTTTAGAGAATCTTATAAGACTTATTTAATTACCTAAATAGCTATAATAGTTCGAGCTAGATTCTAATAATTAAGGACGAATTTAGTAGAAAGCTTTTTAGATACCTTTTATAGAGTAAAGGGGGTTTAGTAGTATTTAATATAATTAGGGATTTTAAGTAATAGGTATATAAGTAATATAATCTTTTAATTACTTATATTAAGTATAATTAGGAAAAAGTAGTTATTCTAATCCAAGAAATATTAGCCTATTAGATCTGGGCAAAGAAAGAAGATATTAAAATCGAGCTTTCTCCTTTATATATATATGAGCCGAATAGTAATACCGAATAAGTAGGGCAGGAAATTATAAATAAGGCTATTATAATATACTTAATAGCTAATTTGCCTAAAAAGCTATAGCCGGAAAGCTCTATAGCCGCGATTTACTTATATAATTAGAGCCCCTTATATATAAATTACTAGAGAATACTAAATAAAGTACTTAATTCGTAATTCTGTAATTATTTCTATTAGTATAACCCAGAGCTTATAGCTCAAATAATAATTAATCTCAGGCCTAATTAGAATAGGATCTATATATATGGTTCTAGGGCATATCTAATAATTAAGGACTATAAAGCAGGACGGAATAAGAAAGTATTTAAGGTTATATTATACGGGTATATCGGATATTTGGTTAGATATATTATATCTAATATTTATAAAATCTGGGTTCCTATACTTAATAAAGTAATTATTATACGTAATATTATATTTAATAAAAATATTTTCTATAAAAAGAATCATAAATATACTAAAGACTATAATATAAAAATTATAAAGAATATAGTAGAACTACTTCTAGAAAATGAGATTCAGGATACTAAATCAATTTTTAAGAATAAGGAATTATAATATAATAGCTTATTAGAGCAAATAGAAAATGAGCCTAAACTAGGGAATAATGAGTAAATAAACCAATAATTAGAAGAGCCCATAAGTATACTAATTAGTTATAACTCGGGGGTAGGGAGCTCTATAGCTTTACTAGAAATAGGACTTATAATTTCATAAAGTACTCTAGAGCCAGAAAGTATACCAGAGCCTAGGAATAGTAGAAATAAAGGTACTAAGCTCTTAAGAAGGCTTAGTACTATAGAGAG